CATATCGTTTTTAAACAGTTCTCTCCCTCATCTGTTTCAATGCAGTATACATAATTTATCCCATCTTTCTCAGTCTTCCCCCAACCCTGATGTCAGTCCCATTTTACAACAGTGACACCATGCAGTATTTGTCCTTTTGTGACTGAGATATTTCACTCAGCATAATGTCCTGAAATGGGATCTTTTTGTTGCATTTTGAGTTGGTTCTAGGAAGTTGAAATCAAAGGTTACCAGTGAGATAAATTCTTTCTTTCTGTAATGTGAGGGGTCCCTTCCACCAGCCTTTATAATGGTTTCTTCCTTCTAATTGTATCTTTCTTCAGATTACCTCTCCTCGGATTTTGCCAGTTGAGATTAACTCTGTTGGATTCTGAAGTCTTTTTTCGTTTTCTAGTGTCCTAGCGGGAGCTCTGGTCGTGTAGCCTGTAGTTAGTTGCAGTGCTTATCCAAAGACTGTGCCTCTCAAGTGGCTTAAATCCACTAGTGGCTCCATGGGAGAAAATGAGCAGTCTTCTTCCATTCTGATATTCAGCCTTGGAAAACCCAATTGAAAGAAGTTATCAGTCAGAACTTCATGGCAGTGAATGCTTTTTACTTATCCTGTGGAAAAATATAAAACTGCCTCAGAGCGGAAGTTACTGAATCCCTTTTATTGCTGGTGTTAGGTGGCCAATATGTTAGGTGGGCTAGTGGCATGGGGTGAAAATTCTCAAGAGTGAAAGTAGCAGAAAAGTAAAGAGTTTATTCACTCTCCAGATAAGGACAGGGGCTCAGTATCCAGAAAGGATACCAGCCCTGAGGATAGGGAGGTTAGGGCTTTTATTGTAAATACAAGGGTGGGGGAAACAAAGGAGGTTGGTGGTTGCCTGCAGTGGGGCCACTTTTGGCAAGTGCTCAGGTGAGTGGAAGCTGAGGTGTCTAGAAGCAGCTGAGGTACGTGATGAGGTGTCAGCTTCTCAGAATTGTAAGTAAAATGTTGCTTCCTCTAAAGAGGGAAATTCTTTTTTTCTATAGTTTATAGATTTTTTTTTCCTATAGTTTCCCATCTCAAAGTAGAGAGCTCAAAAACATTTTTAATACTGAGAATGTTAACTTATTCAGGCAGCCTCTGGGTGACAAACAAGATCAACTCTTAAATGTACCTTTAAGTTGAATCTGTAAGTCCGAACATACACACTGCAGTTCTTATTTAGTCTTACTTTAGGAGTTCTGGTGGCATTGTCCACTGTTACCAGAATCCACCAGCTACTCCACTGGAGAAAGCTAGGCAGTCTCTTACTGGTAAGATTTACAGCCTCAGAAGCATGATGGAAGCTTGCTGTAAGTCAGGATTGACAGCTGTGAGGTTTGGGGTTTTTTAGTACAAGAAGGATCCCTGGTGTCACAGTGGTTAAAATACTTGGCCGCTGGCCTCAAGGTCAGCAATTTAAAACCACCAGCCAGCCATTCTGTGGGAGAAAGACGAGGCTGTATGCTCCTGTAAAGATTTACAGCCTCGGAAACCCAGCACAACACAGACTTGACAGCAATGTTTTTGTTTTCTCTGCTTTGGGTTTAGTGTAAGAAAAAGGTTCAAAGTCTTTTCAATTATTAAAAAGTTGCACATTCACCACAAACAGATAAACAATCCAATAGAAAAATGGGCACAGGATATGAACAGACACTTCACCGAAGAAGACATTCAGATGGCTAAGAAGCACATGAAGAAATGTTCAAAATCCCTAGCTCTAAGAGAGATGCAAATCAAAACAGCTATGAGATATCATCTCACCCCAGTCAGAATAGCAAAATTTAACAGAACAGCAAGCAATAAATGCTGGCGAGGTTGTGGAGAAACCAGAACCCTTATTCACTGTTGGTGGGAGTGTAAAATGGTGCAACCACTGTGGAAGGCAGTATGGCACTTTCTCAAAAAGTTGCAAATAGAGATACCATTTGACCCAGCAATTCCACTACTGGGAATATACCCCAAAGAGACCATAACTGACATCCAAGCAGATATATGCACACCCATGTTTATCGCAGCTTTGATCACAATAGCAAGGAGTTGGAAACAACCTAAGTGCACATTAACAAACGAATGGATAGAGAAGCTGTGGTATAATCACGCAATGGAATACTATGCTGCATTGAAAAACAAGGAACTCATGCAATATTATTAAAAATGGGTGACTCTGGAGTACATTATGCTGAGTGAAGTATCTCAGTCACAAAAAGACAAATACTGCATGGTCCCACTGTTGTAAAACAGGACTGACCTTGGGATTGGGGAGAGACTGAGAAAGATGGATTCAATACTGTATACTGCATTGAAACAGATGAGGGAGTAAACTGTTTAAAAGGGATATGTGATTAGGTATTTTTGTCATGATAGTAGTCTAGAGTGAAGGCTGCACAGTGGAGTGGACCTGGGGGAGGGCTTGTAAAACAATGAAAGAATTTGTCTTTTACTTTTCTAAGAGGGTAGTGTACTAGAGGGAAGGGTTGGGAAGGAAGAAAAGTGCAACAATGAATGAATGGAAATCCAAAGTCTCTGTAAATTTTTACTGAATAATAATAAATTTAAATTAAAAAAATAAAATGAAAAAAGTTTTTTAAAAAAGTTGCACATTGAAAAAAATGAAGGTGATTGTGCTAATTTAATTGTGAAGCTGGTGCAAGACCAGACAGTGTTTTGTTCTGTTGCATGTAGGGGTCACAAGAGTAGGAACTCACCTGATGGCACTAACAATAACAACAGGGAAATGGTTCAATAGCTTTAAAGTGAGGGAAGGTTTGCATAACATTAAAGGGCAAATTCAAGCTGGACTTTCATAACCCAAGATTTCCTATACTTCAGGGAGTGATTCCAACCCTGGCTCTACCCTGGGTCACCTGGAGAGTGTAAAAGCGGTTGCTTTCTGGGCCCCATCCCTAGAAAGTCTGATGTAACTAGCCTGGGTATAAAGCTAGAGCATCAGGATTTTTAAACCTCCTCAGGTGATGCTGAAGTGTAGCCAAGGTTGCAAACTATTGTTTCAGAGTAGTGCGAAGATTCTAGTTTGGCAGGTCTGGGGAGCGTCTGAGCCTTTGTGACTCATAGATAGATGACTCTCCAGTGGGTTTTCAGAAGCTATGAACTACAGAGGAGGAGATGGCCCATCTTTCTCTTGATGAGCAGCTGGTGGGTGAGAACTGCTTGCCTTTGTGTTGGAAGCATAAGTCCTTCCCTACTAGACCACAGGAGCTCCCCGCCTGTCCCTTGGTAGCCAGTGAATTGTAGACAGCCTGCAGAGACCTAAGCCTGTTTCTACTGTGGCTGGGTGGGTGAGCCCCTGGAGAAAGAAAGGTAGGAGGTGCTGAAAGTGGAGCTATAGTAAAGATAACCCTTACAGCCTCCTCAGCTTGACTTAGGACTGTTCTTGGTATTCCACTGAGACTACTGTAGAAATAACTAAGAGGCTCTGTGTGTGTGTGTGTGTGTGTGTGTGTGTGTGTGTGTGTGTGTGTGTGATTTCAAAGGGCCTGTGTGGATATGAAGCTTTCTTACTGGTGAAGTCCTTGGGACAGCTCCCTGGGGATTCAACCCCTCCTTTCACATGCAGGGATGGTCTGGAGTTTCCTTCCAGGGTCAGTCCTTTGCTGAGATTCTGTTCTCCTCCCAGCCCATTGTTTTCTCGAGCAAAGCATGACAGCTAACAGTTCCTGTCCAACTGCAGGTCTGAAAGAAGAACAATTGCTATTAAGTTTTTTAAAGAGTTTTTGTTTCCAGGGATACACAAACAGATAGCTTATAAAAAGCACACTATGAGCTAATTCTAAGTTATAAAAAGCTACTTTAGTGACAATAAAACCTGATCTTCAGTGAAATGTATATGGACCCAAGCCTGCATTCTTAAGATCCATGTCTAACATTGTAATAGTTTTTAATTGGATCCCTTTGAGTTGTGGTGCTGGAGAAGAATGTTGAATATACCATGGACTGCTAGGAGAACAAACAAGTTTGTCCTGGAGAGGGTGAAGTCAGAATGCTCCTTGGAGTCAAGGATTCTGAAGCTTCGTCTGACATACTTTGGGCATGTTGCAAGGAGGGACTGGTCCTTGGAGAGGGAGATACATCATGTTTGGCAGAGTGGAGGGGTGGTGCAGGAGAGGAAGACCCTCAGTGAGATGGATTGATTCTGTGACTAGAATGGTGGGAATGAGTGTGTTTGAGATGGCGAGGCTGGCACAGGATAGAGTGGCATTTAGGGCTCTTGTACATAGAGTCGCTATGAGTCGCAAGCGACTCGATGGCATATAACAACAACAACGCAGAGGGGTAACAGAAAATAAATCCCAGATGGAGAAAAGTGGAGTGGTGTATTAAATGTTAGCCTTCTCTAAGATTTTGTTGAAGAGATGTAATGCTTAAAAAAAGCAAGCAAAAGGGAGCTCTGGTGGCCTAGTAGCAAGGAGCTGCAACTACAATCCCAGAGGCGAACGGTTCAAATCCACCAGATGCTCTGCTGGGGAAGGAGGGACAATCTCCTCCTGTACCAGTCAGATCTGATTTGACGGTACACGCACACAAAAGTAATAAAATTTTTTAAAAAAAAAAGCAAGCAAGCCTACAAGCCATTACTGTAGGGTCTAGGATATTTCTATTAAAGATGTAATCCAAAGGTCACCAGTACATGAGCACACACACCAACCATCACCAAAAGCTCACTGCCATGGAGTTGGAACACACAGCGAGCCTTCCAACGGGTTTTCAGAGGCTGTAAATCGCACAGGAGGAAGTTGTTCCTTCTGCAGAGCAGCTGAGGGATTCGGAACTTCAGAAGACATGCCACTTGTGGGTTAGCAGTGCAACTAGTTAAGGACTATGCCATCAGATTTTGTTTAAAATGCAGAAACTTGGACCCACCCTAACTGACTAAATCAGAATCTTTAGGATCCTCAGGAAATATTTGTGTCTATTCAGATTTGAGAAGCAGGGTTTGGGTAACAAAGAACCCTGGTTGCATAAGGTTGGGCTGCTAAGCAGAGGGTTGATGGTTTGAACCCACCAACTGCTACTCAGGAGAAAGATGGATAGTCTCCTCCCTTAAAAATGTACAGCCTTAAAAACCCAGTGGAAGGTCAGTATGAGTCAGCATCCGCTCAGTGACACTAGGCTTGGGCTTGGGTTTGGCGGTCAATAGTTCTCAATTTTCAGAGTGATTTAGCATCACTTGGAGGCTCAGTAAAGCCTGCAGAGGCTCTGGTGCCTTGGAATCATGTCAGGTCTGCGTCTCTGTATTCCTACCAAGTTCTCTGGAGATTCTGATGCATGCCAAGTTTGAGAAGCAGGGCACTCTGTCTCCACTCTCCTTCTCCTCTATCTCTCTG